GCCCTCGCACGACCACCGATGGGGCTTTGGGATGCTAATCCAAGACTACCACACCCAAAACCAGCACCGGTACCTAGATGAACAGAACATCGGGAAAATATTGGATAGGTATTGAGCTCGAAAAACATCGACAAATGTTGGATCACCGAACACCGTTCAACTTAGTTGGGCGAAACAAAAGCTTTACTGTTAAAGTGACTTGTTTTCTGGCATGCTGTTAGATTGCGCATTTTAAAAACATTGGGACTGGATTTGAAGGCATATTACTGACCAAATATTTATCTGGTGATACAGTAATGCTGGCCCGCCAAAAATGTTTTATGGAATTAAATGTTGTTAAATGAAGCCGTCCAACACGCTATTGAACTCCATGCAACAATTCTTTTTATTTAAAATCCAAAAATATTGCATTGCTAATCCTCGGTGATGTGTCTTTTTGTTTTGCCCAGGCTTTTCACTAACACTGGAAAAAATCGCGCGCTTTAAAGGTTGTAAATTTGATGTAAATATGATGTAAGTGTCCAAAATTCTGTAAATTTAATGGAAATCATTTACATCAAATTTACAGAATTTTGGACACTTACATCATATTTACATCAAATTTACAACCTTTAAAGCGCGCGATTTTTTCCAGTGTAAGGCTGGGTTGTTCAAAGCCCGGTAAGCATTAATCCATGGCTAACTTCATATTTTTTTGAGTTAACCCAACGATAGCATTAATCAAGTTTGGAACAACCCGGCCCAAGTGAGTAACATTTTGTCACATATCATTTTGCTTTTCATGGATGAGGTTTATTCAGTACCTTCTAACAAGTCTGTTTTGTCACTGATAAACTCCGCTGCTAAATGATGCAAGCTCTTCTCCTTGGCCGATGGATCCAACAACCATGCAGCAACTTTAGGATCTTCAACATCACCGCTTAGCGTTATGCCACAGCTTTGGGCCAGTGCCTACAATTGATTAAAAAAAAACTGGGTACTCACTGTAGTGTTTCAATTTCTTTCGTAACGTACGACTGTAACACACAATAGCTTTGGCTAGCACATTCCCGCCAAAAGCTTATACAAAATTGTTCAAATTTCTTCCTTAAGCAGAAAATATGAAAACTTAATTCAGCGTCGAAGCAATTAGACTGATTCCACCAGTCTGTTTGATCGCTTTTTTTTGTTTGCTCCCGGACAGTCGCTAGCTGGAGTGAGAATTCAATCCGACGAACGGAATCTACGACTTATGGAATCAGTCTACGAAGCAATGTGCTTAAATCAAATGAATACATATTAGATTATAAGAGAATCCTAACCTTATAATGTGTTGCAGAATCGAAGCAAAACTTCATTCCTTTCCGCTTTCCCTTGTATTCCAAGACTGATTTTATCCCTTCAATT